CGAGGTTTCAAGAAGGCACTATCTAACTTTTCTCTTTCCAATTAACGTATCCACTATGTTTAAAAGATACTCATTAGAGCTTGTCAAATCTAGGAAGAGACTTGATAATTCTCTCTCTCTCTCTCTATCTCTTGCTTTCATAGTCTTTTAACGAACGCACATCTAGTGGGAGGGACTGTAACGGAATTCAGAAAGCTTTTCCTACATTTGACAAGCTCTACTTTCAGCTATTCTCTTGATATCCCAATATCAATGTTATTAATCTTATTCTGTCGAAAAATGCAAATGTCCATGAGATAAATAGTAGAGGCATGCATTGGCAGAAAACAGACATTTTCAACATCTGATTCAATTCACGTTTTCGTTTGTCCAAAGTTTTTTGAATTAGTGTTCTGTAAGGTATTGAGATTATGTCAATTCCATAATTATACAATTCAAAAATTATTCATTATTGTCTGAAATTACATGGATTTTATTTTTACACGACAACCGGGCGACCAATGAACAAAAATAAGAGGTCCAAAGAATTTCGATCCCTTAGTGATCAAGATGAAGATGTTTAATCTCCCTCTTGAAGTGATCAAGAGGAGGATGTTTTAATCTTCACGCCGGTTGGAGGCCGGATGTCCACGCGGGAGTGCTAAAGTGTAATAATTATATAATACCTATTCCCATTAACGCCGGTTGGAGGCCGGGTGGACCGGATGTCCACGTGGGAGTAGGATTGCAATTAATAATCTTTTATGAAAAAGACGTAAAATTTATACGTATGTATATGTCCGCCGTAGATAGACGTGCCTTTCAAAAATAATAAATTGGAATAATAAAAATGGGTTGCAGTATTGCGTAAAGCAAGACTTCTGCACTCCCTGGACAAAGTTTTTATTATATTTTTAATATAATAAAAAGAGTACTGGTAATAATAGCGCAACCTGGAAGCTGGGACCATAATTGAGCTGAAGAAGAAGAAGAACTCCTTTATAATATCAGCATGTTGTGTCAAAGCTATTTTCCGTATTTGTTGATTGCGGTCTGCAGGTTTTCATGTCAGACGTTTCGTCTACGACTGCGGTAGACACAGGCGATGAGGCAACGGAAGAAGTGCTTCGGTTGTTTTAAACTATATCGGCGGCGATAGAAATCCAGAACTATAGAATAATTTCAACAAAAGGAAAGAGGAAATCAATAAAGTTCAGCTAGCTGCACTTAATTGCACAAGTATCAGTATGCGATGAGATAGAACTGAGGCTCTAAATAACGAATGTAGTAGTATATTCTGTGGGGACAACTAAACTATATCCATTCAACAAAAAAAGTAACCGAAACAATGATAGATGCGTGAGTGAAATGAACAAGCCTTCTTACGCTGGTCAATCAGATTTGACTGCAATCGGCTGACTCTTTGCATGATAATGTTTTGGAGCACTCTGTTGCTTGGTTGGACATAGTAAAGAGCACTTCGCCCGTTGCCTCATCACCTTCGGAAACGTCTACCGCAGTCATAGATTAAACGTGCATATCATGACCAACACACTCGGAAAATTACTTTGACCGTGAAAGTTTAGACGCGTATTAGCATATCATTAAAAAACACCCTGTGTTTTATATTGCATATTTATTGCTTATTTCTTTTAATATTTTTGATATTTAAACTTGTTTGACTAACTCGTCATAGTAATTTCAATACATCATCCATTCAATCTTTTTTATTTATTTTGAAGAAGTTCAATCCTCTAACATTCAAAACGCTAATGTTTACATTCATTTTGAATTCAATCGCTTTTGTCTCTGATTCACCCTAATATTTACGGTTGTTTTATTAGTATCGAGGTTAATACCTCATTGAAACAAGAGCGTATTAGTTTATAGGTTAATTTGGGATTTCACGAGGGATATACGATACTAGTAGGTATATATTCGAATTTATGAACGGAAGATGAAACGAGAATGTGTTTACAAAAGATTATTTTTGGAGTTTTCTTTGGTCAGATTACAGTTGAATAGCACCTTACGTAGGGATTTCAAATTCGTAATTTTTGAAACTCCATCTGATCCAGTTGACTGATTTAACAGTGATATATGTACATGAAATTGTCAATTTTGATAATCAATGATCAATGAATCGTTTTTCTGAACGAATTGAAGAAGATATTTTCTCAATTTTTGGGAAAGAAAGGTTTTGGCTTTCTATTTCTCCATCTTGATTCAAAAAATATGGGAATCCTCCAAAAAAAGGAAAAGAGCAATCTATTAAAAAAATTACTTTGGGAAGAAACAGATTCCCTCAATTCTGAATTTTTTAATCGCCGGATCTGTCTCTCATACAATGTAGTATTATTGCAAGACCGAGAGAGCGTTTATATAAACAAAATTCATCGGCGTGTTTTGAAAGATGCAAAGTCAGATATATCGTAGCTGAAAACCGCCCAGGTTATAGATATGTGCCCATCAATATCCCAGCCTTGACATCGTAAGTTTTATCAATTCAGCGAAATAGGTTTTCTGGTGACCTCCGTCGCATGTGGGCGACTGTTCAGAAGAACGGTTTGAGGAACGGGGAAGGCTTGCGAGAGCCACGAAGAGAGTCGTACACGTGAGGCTGAGGGTGGTGGCCTAAATAGAGAAGTTATTTTGTTTCTAAGCGCGTGGTGCAAAATTCAAGGAAAATCGTTAGCGAAAACGTAAGCCGGTATTTTGTGGAGGAAAATAAAAGTGTTTGTGTTGAAGACACACCGGGTCAACGAAACCTATGGTTGACTATGAACCACCAGAGAGGCATTATGCCGGTGTTTGTTTTTTTATATACTAGCCAGTTGATATTGAGAGAGATAGTTAGTTCACATATTATTTTGTCTGAGTTCACTTCCTACTCGCAAAGAGGTTATATAATTGTTGTGTTCCTAGTGTGGGTTGTTCAGCTAGAGTTCAGACTTGAATCGAAAAAGAAAGCAAATTTAAAGTTATACACCACTCTCCCTGAAGTAAAAGTAAAACTGAAAGTATTTTGTACTGAGTTAAAGCGTTTTTAGTTGTTTAAGAGGTTAAATTAATAGTAAATAGCACAGTCAAATTGGTGACATTTTCTTTGTTAATTTTTTTTTATTTTATAGAATTTCACATTCTTAAAATAAGATTTTACACGTTGCTTTTTTTGTTTGTCCATGGAATTGTTGTTTTACTCTTCATACTTTATATTTGAAACCTCGAAAATTTATTTTCTTTTGGACTGAGAAAAATACCATCCTCGTACAGTAAGATGAAGTTGAAAAAGGAAAAAAAAAGATTAGAGACCTCTTAGCCAATTCATGAAGAAGAGAATATAAAGTGAAAAGAATTTAAACTGAGATTAAAATTCAGTTAGAGCATATTCGGTATCGTACTGGAACCATATGATGAGAGAAAACTATAAGTATGTATACCAAATGATCAGGTTTCAAAAATACATCTTCTTAGTGCAAGAGGCCGAATTCAAGCCTCATCCAAAATTGCTTAACATCCAAAATTTGATGTGGAAAAATCCGCATCTGGTACAGCTGTCAAAGTTAATAAAAAAAATGAACCAGAAAGAAGCATTTATTACACTTGTGACAGCTGAGTGGGATTCCACGAGGATTTCTCGGTTAAGAAATGTAATTCCACATATCAGCCTTTTTTAGTGTTTTACATTTACATTTTTGTAGTTATTGCATTGTGTAGCAATTCTGGTAATGATATCTGATTAAATTTCGTAACGAATGTTTGGAGTACAAATTGAATAGGAAGAAGTGTTTATTGTATGATTCAATGGTCACGTGAAAGTTGTTTCGAAACTAATTTTTTTTTTGTGTAATTCAATGTTTATATGAAAGTAGTTTTTTTGAAAGGGCATTTCTTCCAGTTTGTGACTGAAAGTTACTTCTTTGGATGATCTACATATCTATGTAGAGTTTATTTTTGAAATTGATTTCTTTCTTTCTATATCTTTGGAAGATTTCCACTTTTTTGTGTGAAGATGTAGTAGAAATCCAAAACCTTTCTTTCCGGAAAATTGATCTCTCCTAAAAGTTCAACCCTTTCGGAAACTCATATATGAGATATCAGAAACTGATATCCCAAATAACCAAAATCAAGTAGAGTCATCCAGATGAGGTACAACTCAAAATGACAACAACAAAAATGCCTGTAATGTATTCCTTGTGCACAAGATGCATAAAATATCCCTGAACACTTGGATTCCGATATTTTGTTAAAATATCTCGACCTCCGGTACTTTTGATAAATGAATAATAAAAGAGATCCAGTTAATTTCAGCCTCTCATTCACAAAGCTGCTGAGTACACTTGAAAGTGACATTGCTTGACAATATCAAATTGGTACTTCAGTGTTCAATATTATTCACATTCGTGAATAAATTGATTGATATTAAGTGGAAGATTTTTTACAGTATGGTTCATAAATTGAAGATCTGAATAAAATACGAGCTACAGATTTTAATTCTTGCTCCATCTATCTTTATGTGTATAAAGTTGGTTCAATCTCATTTATCGCGTGGAGAGTTTTTGAGAAAACAGAAGCAATCGGTTTGAACACCAGGGTTCCTATGCATCTTTTTTAATGAACGTAAATTATTGTGTCAAATAATAACAATTGACTAACAGGGCTTCTTCACTAATTTAGACCTTCACTAATTCAGATCAATTTTGATAGATTTAGGTCTATAACTGAAAAAACACATAGAGGTGAATTATTCATGGAAAAAATGATGAAGTATTTTCAGTTATGCTGAGTCTTACCTGTCGATCCTTGAGTATTGTGAAGTGTAGGGATGGATTTGTTCTCCCAATGCCTTTACACAGTCTCCAGAACTAATGTATTTTGCCGGCTTCTATCGACGATTAAATAAAAATTTCCTACTTTCAGACATATACACGCCTATACTTCAATGAACTATATTCAATATTCCATCATGAATTCAAATTCATCCGAACGAATATATTCAATCATTACGATTTCAGATTTCTCAGAGTGTCATTCATCAGTCTTATGGAGTGGCTCAAGTTTCTTATCGCCAGCCCGCGTATAACAACCCCAACTACATCAGCCACAGCCCTTCTCACCAAATTGCATACCCGTCAGCGATGCAGTATCAAGCAATAAGCCCGATGTATACTAGTCAGCCGACATACCAGCCTCCTCAGGTGAGGCAGTACCCTAGCTACAATCAGTACTGTAGCCCAATCAAGACTTACATGAATAATTCTCCAAAACATATCCCATACGACCAACCGATGGCTTTTTCCCCGACTCACAGATTTCATGGACCGCCAGGAGCCAGTTCTGCAGCAAAAGATAAGAATAACTGTGAAGTTCCGGTAAGAAAATTGGTTTTTTTAACGCTTTCAGACATTCTATGTGTCGAAAGTGTAGGTATAAAAGTAGCTAGGTCAAAAATCAGAGCATCTATTCGACCTTTCACTGCAATCCTCGAAAGTTTATTGTGTTTCAACCTATCGAAATTCGACAAAAAGCAGCCGGTTACCCAACGAAGCGATTGCTTCGTTTGGCTAGTGATATTTCTGGTCAGTTGGCAAAAATGAGATTCTCCCAAGCGCTGAAAATCTGATCCGGTTCGAGATGGAGTAGGCACAGAGTATGTACTCTGCCACCAATGTGAAGAAAACTCAACTCCAAGGTTTAAAGATCATGGTACATTTTTTTCGGTCTAGTAGAAAAAACCTAATTAGCTAGCAGTCGGTGACTACGTTCTTCATGTAGTCGGTGTAGCTTGGAAAGTAAGTATTCTGTCACGCATTTCAGGAAGAAGCCCACCCATGACTGCAGGGTATCAACTGCACCTACCAGTCATGAAATACCCTCCTGATCCTTTCAAGTAATCTGTTACCATTCAAGCCGGAATGTGCAGCTCTCGAATCGTACCTGGTGTGCCATTTTCTAAAATATCCTCTACAGCAGTCATAGCAGAATACTAAAGAGATTCCAGTTGATTTGTCGATATCGACATGTTCAGATGTTCAAGGTGGAAAATTCCTACCTTGATGACCGTTGCAACATCTTCATATGAGGGCATTTCTGTCCTGTAAGTCATGCCTGAAGATATATTAGATTCAGCGATTTCTGCCACTGGTTTGGGAGAAGTATCGTTTGAGTGTCAGCCTTTTCTGTACTGCTCACGTGGAGTTTGTTTGCTCAGCTGATGCAGATTCCGCTGCTCAAGAATTTGGTGAAAAGTATATTCGTAACATATTCTGCTCTTGAGGGGACGATGAGTCACTTCGTGGCTGCAGCACCTAGCCTCCTAGGTTTGTTAACAGGATCAAGAATTTAAAAACTGAGAAGCCCTTGATGGTTGGGGTCGTTTAGTCGACATCCATCCCATTTGTAGACTCAAGGTCGGATTCTTTTGTTACTTAGTTTTGTTAGTGACTTTGAGTGGACTCAGAGTCATACATCTTTTCGGAATGGATAAACGCACACCTTGGAATGAGACGGCAATTAAGGAGGACTATTACCTCCAAGGGTAAACTTGGAGATAATAGTCCTCCTAAATTGTAAAAAATAATTAGGAAAGTCCTAGGTAGCAGTCATAACATCAGTCTCCTCAGCAATCTACGGTATTGATCAAATGAAAAAAATAATGAAATCGTTGGGAGTACAGACAGATTACAAAAACAATAACAGTAATATTAAGAGAGTATATTGAAAAAACCAAGAGAGATCACCAATCACTGCCTTGCAGTGCCATGTATGTATGTGGGAGATTTTGTATATTTCTATATGATACTATACAGGGTGTCCCTGGACTTCCTCTTTTCCTCTCGTGAATGTATAGATGGGGTCAAAATATCACCAGTACTTCATATAACTTTTTTTCCTAAAAGTCTTCGTAACCAAGTTACGGGCCCTCGAAGTTACAAAATGAAAAATGTTTTTCTTTGATAACTTTTCAAGTGAATATTCAAAATCATCCAAATTTTGGTAATTGACTAAACAAATGAATTCCTTCGATGAGCT